GACCTTTAAAGTCGCAAATATAGTGGATGAGCTCAGAGAAAATCCACTGAGATGGTATGGCCACGTGGTCCATCGTCCTTCAGACCACATAGAGGAGAAAAGAAGAGGAAGGGGTTACCCATCTGCGACAGTTAAAGCCATTAACGCCGATACAGAGACAGCACACAACAGATAGTTGTAGCATAAAACTATTAGGAGGGCCGACCCCAAATTGAAATGGGAAAGGAACAGAAGAAAAGAAAAAGATATTAAGGTGTTATGTACATATATTTATCCGTTATTATTAGGTATTATCAAATCCGTGTATCATTATAGAAGTAAATATAACATTAAATCAACTCTATTTTATTAATGCTTGTATCGGTAACGACAGTTGCTTCTTAAATCCAGTGGCAGCGTAAAGAAGGGAGGTGGGGGCGATTTGCCGCAAATGCCAAACCCCAAGGGGTAATAGTAGGACAGACACTAATATGAGAATGTTATGAATGATTTTAGAAATAACTAGGTTACCATTACGGAGCAGTGGATGATATCCATATAATGTTCGGTCCAGCAGATATTAATGCAAATTTGACAAACATCTGTAATAAATTTTCTGGCGAGTACAGTGACGCCTGTTGTTACCTTTTACAGTCAGAACGAGTATTCGTGAGCCGCCCTCATTAATCAATTTTGATTTGATTGATTAATCTAGTTTTTTTGGCCGAGCGACTTCAAATTCCTACGGCGAAGAAAAAAATGGTGTATCTCGGGCATTTTTCGATCTGATTTTGAAGATTTTTTTAATTTATATTGCTAACATTTTTCGATTTTTCTGCATAAAAACGTTAATCAAAAGATATCCCCCTTTTTCAATATGGGAGGAAATTTACAGGTATGTTTTTTAATCAATAAATATTTACGCTAAATATCCCATGTGGTTACTTATAAGAAAAAAAATCCATCGCTTTTTGCTAATTCTACTGACCCATATAGTGTCGGTTTATTCTACGTTGGAGCTGTATTCTGTGTCTGTTACAAAACTAGTGCTGAAACTAGATTTTTTTTAACTATGTATTTGCGTATTGGTGGCTTACGCAAAAGAAGCTTTTCAAAATAAACGTTAATAAAATCGTACTTAAGATTCACAATGAGTCAAGCGCGATTAATCGATCTTTCAATTTTGTCCATTGAAAAGGAATGGAAAGCAAACTTTGACAGTGTAATTGAATATTTTAGCAAAATCATATCGCGTAAGCACGTTTAGTACTTGTAGTTTGATTTTGCGGAGTGTTCACTAGAGAACCGTCTCGGTTGCTAATCCATGCTACGCTGCATCTGACTGTTGAAGTCTGTCATCATCATTATAAGGTCGTCAGTTCTAAGACTGGTTTGGCACGTACCTCCTCTCTTTCCTATCCTGAGCTAAACTTCGCATTTCCCTAAAACTAGAACAACCTACATCCTTAACTAATTACGAACAGTAATCTAATCTAGGTCTACCTCTACCCCTCCTAACTCCTGTTCCTGCCTCTATGTCTCTGACTAGACCTTCATGCCTGAGAAGGTGTCCTACCAACCTATCTCGCCTATTTTTTATTGACTTCCATACAGTCCTCTGTTCTCCTATTCTTTCTAATACCTCTTCATTTCTAACCTGAAGTCTGTACAAAAAACAAAATTCGTTTATATAGTTGGAACGATCAAAGTTGATAAAGTTCGCAATAAATGATCTATGAGAATGGACTTCTTCTTTCTTGTTTCCACTTGGGACTGTGGTCATCTGCTGTGTTTTGAATACGCCATTGTTAAGTTAGGAAATGCTGCATGAGCAATACAAATTGAAAAGAGATAATCGAATAATAGTAAGCGGTGCAGCGGTTAGAGATTGCTCAGATACGCAAAAGATCAGGGTCGGCTTTTCAACTGCGTGGTTGGAATTATATCTTTAAACAAACGTCTTTGCTTTCCTAAATTCTTGAGAATGTTGAACTTTCTTTAAAGTCCGATGCTGGCAACATGTTCAAATTCTACTTGTCTGTATCTCTTTCTGTTACATATTAATTGGTGTAACGTTATTTATTTTTCTTTATTAGTGTTCGCTGCAATACCTACCTGACATCTCTTTTCTATGTTTACGATATTCCCTATAACATGTGGCGTGAGTAAAAGTAGGAGTTCTGTCAGCAACCACTTTAGTTTAATTAGTAACTTGAAAGAAGAAAGTAAATGCGGCAGATTTGTTCAGCGTGCTGTCAAACCTACACTAGCAAGGAGATCGGGCTGAAACTATAGCTACAAGCTATCCAAGGATGGTACTATAGAATGTCACCTCAAGGTAGGCCTAGTGGCGTCATCTCTTGGTTAGGCCGGAAACTTATCAATCCACCCTCGTATA